GGAAAGTTAACAGAAACATGGTGACACTGCAGAAACTTGCCAGCACTTTCTTCTCTGGGTAAAAATATACCTTGTCTGTTGGAAGATTGAGGCTATAAAGGCTATTTTTTACCTTGGTGTGCCACTAAATTGTCATTGTTTTACTCAGCCAGGAGACTGATGTATGAATCTAGGAATAAATCAGCATGTTTCCATTCAGTTTTTCATCAGGAGGTGGTGTAACCACAGTTTACCTGTAGTGTATTGATCTGGATGGATGCAAGTCAGCTGGGTTTTGTGTTATCCTAACATTGGTGAGGTTATCACAAGCAAAACTGGTATCAAAATTGCTACAATAACAAAAAAAAAAAAAGCTTTTTTTTTTCCTAATAAAAGCAATGAATTAAGCCCATTTTAAGTAAATTCTTATCACTTCTCATCAGGTTGATTTTAGGCCAAATCAAATAAACTCAGAGTTCAAAAATGCATTTTCTGGTGCATGTCCCTGTACCACTGAAGCACACATTCATTCGATTTTCAAAAGTGCATACACACAGTCAAATTTCTATTTAAGTGCTTTTTTTCTATCTAAACGCAATCCCACAGATAAGTCTTGTGCACACATTTACTGTATTTAAGAATTTCAGCAAAGTCTTCAAAAGAAGATATCTCAGAAATTGCTAACAACTGTTGATCAGAATTATCTAATGACATGATGAACCTGATAAATTAAACAGCATTCATTGACAGAGAGAATACAAAAGTGATGTCCACTGTGCTATTTCTCACAGCCCACCACAGATCCAGAGGTCAGAAAAACCTCTGGATAGATAAGAGAATAAATATATAACAGAAAACAACAGAGTGTAGCTCATTGTTTGAATTTATTTGAATTTTATGACATTGTACAGTACATACTCCATCCGAGTCTGTTGCTCCTCTGCATCCTTCCAGTGTAAATTATTAGGGGTTTTTTCCATTAAAGAGCATGAAGTCACAGAAGTCTTGAGTTCCTGAAAACAGAAGGGAAAGAAATATATGACAAGAGCTCTTGAAATCACAGCTTGGAGAGAGTATAAAATGACTGTTGACCATCAAAAGATAAATTAGGGGCCATTTCAATGATAGGAAACAGCTGAATAAAATCAAAAGAGACTTTTTCACACTATGGGACAGTCAATCATGTAACACATTGTCAAAAACTGCACAGATGTCAAAATTCCATTTTAAAAGTTTAAAAGTTACAAGGGTATCACAGAAAAATGTAGAGACAAATAGCTAAGAAATACCAAAACAAAGCAAAACGATGTTATAGAATAGTTTGGATGAGAAGGTCTCTTAAAGATCATCAATTTCCAGTTCCCCTGGCATAAGCAGCAATGCTGCCTAGTAGATCAAGTTGCCCAGGGCCCCAAAACCAAACCTTTAAACTGCAGATGTCTTTAAACTGGAGTTTACGTCTGGGAAACTTCGAGAGATGTTTGTCCTGCTCTTTTACTCCTCCCTGAGAATGTGCTGTGGGCCACTAAGATGGCATATGAAGGTAGGAAAGCACTGATCTGGACAAGTTTGACTATTCCAATGCTCCCATAAGCCTCAGGTCAAAGTACACAGTGACCAGGATAAAACAATAATATTAATAAAGAAAAAAAAAATCCATGTGATTTTCCATAAATTTTATAATCCCTGGTTCCTTGAAATTTATATTAATGGCCCATATATGTTAATGTATCCAAATTGGAAATAATAACCCCTTTCAGAAGCAAATCTTTCTTACTGCTCTTTAGAAGCAATGATTACACCACACGTTACCAATTTAATGGAAAGAGTACATTTGGCAGAAACATATTTAGGAGAAAAATGTGAGCAAAATTAAAGTACAGGTATTAAGCAGATTTGACAGTAGGGTACGAAAGCAGCATGAAATTAAATTATGCTAAGAGGCAATGTTTAAAATGACTGATCTCCACCAGAGTGCTACTGCATTCATGTCAAATATTCTGTGCCCTCAAATGCATAACAAAGAGCATACCAGGTTCCAGAGGCAGCAGAAAAGATTAATAAAGTGGAAATGCTGAACATGGGGAGCTGAATACTATTTTGATTAAAAGACCAGCCAGTTTGATACGGTCAGATCGCGTAACACTTTAACACATCAAGTATCCCTTAATACGAAGGGCAACATTAAAAACTGGTCTTTGACTTGAGAAGCAGGAAGAGACCTTGCAACAACATCGCAACATGATGGCATTTAAAATTTTTTAGCCAAGTTAAAGGTGATCTCCAGGATTTTAATTCTGAACATATTGTCTTGCACTTTATACCATAGGGTTTTCTGCTAGAGCCAACACTGAGTCATGTCAGTGTCTCACAGGAGGAAGAATAATTTTAATTAAGTGACAAAGCTGGACAATAGAGATTAGGGTTAGGGTTAAGTTTAGGGTTCTGAATGCTACACAGAACCCACCTTATCTCTAATTCCTACTTTTCTAGGAAGTATTTAATATGTAGGTTTTACATGGACTAAAACTATGCAACATTTTTGCTGTTTCCCTCTTCCTTTTACTGCTGCTTGAAGATGGAAGGAAAATAAAAGAATTTTACATAGTATGTCACAAAAATAGGCACCAATGTACAACACAGAAGAGGAAACAGACTGAGCTAGTAGACCCACTACAGCACAATGCAGTGTCATGAAGCAATGCTGGCCTCCATCTGGAAGCAGCATCATTATGTTCATGTAGAGTCTCACCCAGGGATGCTTCTGCCTGTCTTGGTGGAAAGAACCAGAGAAACCAGTAACAGCCTTTTGATTTCCCTGCAGAGAATAGTCATGCCTGTGAATTAAGCTCTCTGAAGTGGTAGGGGTGAATTGAGATATTCTCATTTAGTTTAGATGCTGTGAATTTTCTCTGGGTTCCAGTGAAGCCTCTCAGCTCAAACATGGGTAGTCCTTGATGATCTTTCAGACTGTTGTAGGAAAGGAACAGCTTTGACTACAAAATGCTGTTGAGCAGCAGCTGCTGAACCTCCACACACAGAAAATTTGTGGTCCTAGTGGAAGTAAATTAAATTTTTTCTGCTTTCACATCAATTCTCCTATTATGGCCTCTTTCAGGTTTTGATGAAGTTTGTTGGTATAAAGATTGTAAATTTCCATTGGTAGCAGCACCTCAATGAGATTCGTCTTTATGGTAATAGTTTATAATTTTTATTGCTTTTAAATAACATCTAGACAATTAAGTGTTATAACCAGTGACAAACAGCAATCAAGGTTTCTCATCTTCCCATACTATTATCTCATTGTCATTTAATTAACCTCTCCTTCACTGTAACACCTTTTGGAGGCTCATAAATTTGCACTTAGACTCAAAGCAGTCATCAGATGAATTCTGCACTGAACTGCAATGATGTAACTATGTTTTGCCATACAAATGCATAAAGCCTGTAACTCTAATAATAGACCCTTCCCTTTTCCTGCACTCTAGTATGTGTTTTCCACATAAGCCTTTTAGTCCTAATATAATTTCTATCCACAAGACTGAAATTGACAGAAGAAAGAGAAACTTCGGAAGTTCTAGAATAAACTGCTTTATGATGTAACTGATATTTGTTTAACCATGGAGTTACAAGTGCTCCATGGTACAGGAGCAGCAGAATTGTAGAAGACTGCCTTAGTGCACTCCATGATAGAAATTGGTCTGGTTTTTCTAAATAGGTACAAATTTTCTAAACATGTTCAAATTTCATCATAAGCAAGGCCTAGAACACCAAGAAAAAAAATGACAGCAAGTATATGAATTAAGTCTGTCACAAAACAAATTTTTGCCATAATTATCCCACAGAAATAACTCTTGGTAATTTTGTATAGTCCTTTGCATTTGAAATTTTTCAGCCAATTCTTAGATAGTCATTAGTCTCACAACTCCCCGTTTCCCAAACATCATTATCACGAGTTTAGAGAGAGAATTTTCTCACTGAACAGAGCAATTTGTGCAGAGACATACAATTAAATAATAAAATTCAAAAGCTAAACTCCTTGCCTCTCTTCAAATTAATTTATAATTTTCCACTTTCAGTCTGTAAACAGGGCTACAGACTGAACTAAAGAGATTGTCCCCTGAGGGAATATTCTGGGAAATAAGAGAGTAACACTACTCTTTCAAAATAATAAATGCTGTTCTTTGCCAATTATGCCATATAGATGAGAAGTGCAAAAGCAGTAAGAGGAAAGAAAAAAAGTAACATGAAAAGGTTCTTCAAATGCTAACACACAGACAATAGGAAACATGTTAAAGCAGCCTTCACCAAAGATGGGCTAAATAACCTAGTGCAGGCCCCACAAGAAGGTGATTTCCAAACAGGAATTCATGCATTTTGATGATATTTGTCTGATACAATGACAAAATTGCATGACCAACTCCACAAATCGAATTCACAAGGCATCAATAAATGCTTAAACTCTCTGCTCATTGAAAGATAAGGGAGCTGGATGTGATTCTGAATTCCAGCTAGCTAAGCAGTGGAAGGTTTGTATTGATCATCACAAAATGATGAATGGAGGAATGAATGTGCCTGCAATCCACCCCTGTGATTCCTTGTCCATTTTGCTGTCTATACCCTAACATCTAGGTGAAATCAGTATTCAAAACCATTATTTTGTACACTGATTTTTTTATTATTATTTAAAAAACTGCTCCTTTTCTCTCTTTAGAAAAGCAGTGACCAATTCCCTTCTTCCCATGAGAGCCCAACAGTTAGGCAGCACCACAGCTATCGAGACAGCTTGGGTCCTATACCCTCTACATTCCTATGTACTTAAAATCATAGCTTATGCATCCCAAGAATAGGCATATAATCAATCAATAAGCCTAGAATTAAGCTATAGAATTATTGGAGAAGAATCTTGCTCAGTCTCATAAAACAGAATCAATTACTCTGTAAACATGTCCAGGTACAAACCAGCCAGGAATAAAAATTGTTTAAAATATCAATCAATACCACTGCAAATGTGTATTTGCAGTACTGGCAGCTGAACAACTGACCATAAATAATTTCCAACTGGCAATTAAAAAGGATAACTTTTCAAACACAACATTTTGTAACAGCTTCCTAACAGAATGAATAAGAACAAGAAAATCTATCCAGGCTTTAAGGTAGAGCCTGAAATTTTTTTAGGGGGATTTCAGGAGGTGCTGGCAGGTGTGACTTGAGCTACTGACCCAGAGTTCCTTCCCCTCTATTTCTATGCTCCTGCATAGCAGGATCTCAAGTGATGTGGCCCCTGGCTATTTAAATGACTAGAAGAGCCATTAAGAATGTACATATTAAAGCTGGGATAGAAGATACTGACTAATTGACATTAAAGCATTTAAGTAGACACTGAAAAAGCATGCTATCATCTCAGGCTGTTTGACAGAATCTGCTGAGTACAAACAGATTCACAACTATCCCTGTGAATCTGAGAGGGTATCTAGGGGAAGAACCTACTAGCCCTACAGGTCTATGCTTTCAAGCTAAAAGGAAAAGTAATCTCATCCAAGGCTAAAAGGAGTGAAGGCAGATGTTTAAAAGACAGGGAGTTAATTTAAACTCCTGAAGTTCTATTTAGGCACCATATGGTTGTATTTTCAAAAACACATGGATGATTTAGGAGCAAAAGCCCTTCTCAAAGACACTGGGGCATGGACACCTTAGAAACTGCTACCCAGCTGAGGGTGCATCTCTCTGAGAATTAGGGTTTGTGTCATTTCATACAATCATAGTTCTGCAAAATGACAAATAACCTCTAAGCAGCTGTTGACATTCTCAAAAGCTGTATTTTAACTCCTGGCACCACATGGCAAAAGTGCCTCGTTGCTTTTTCTGTATGCCTGAACGGTGGCGCTTAGCTTGTTAAAAATGTACCCTGCTGGGCTGAACATAAAACCTGTTAAAGTACAATTGACCTGCAGGGAAGGCATAACCAACCTCAGCTCAGCATCACCTACTAGCATGTAGAAAAGACAGCCCT